TTTAAGTCTTTTTTAAGGACGGCATCATCAGCTGTTTTTTATTCACAACATTGTCAAAATTGTGTGATTCTTAATTATTTTTTAATCTTTTTAACATGTTGAATTTTAACTAGATTACATGATAACATTAGTCTGATCTCATTTCTTCAAGGATCATTGTCAGAGCTGTTTGAACGGTGGAACATGTGTGGAGTCATCAGCAGATTATAAATGCKCATGCTTATTTGGATACAAGGGTAACCGCTGTGAAATACGAGGTTAGTTATTTAGCCCCTAAAGTGATGGGACCGTCCAACGCTTCAGGTATCCTTGCAGGAGCCCGGTAAAACGTCGGCCTTAAAAAAAGGGGACATTAGGGTGCTAGGATATATGAAATCGGGGCCTGCTTATAGGGCGTTCTTAACTTTTGTACTATCCGCAAATGAGTTTTGCTATTGATGTGGTAATGAAGTCTATATTTCAAAGACTTTGTGTGCCAAGGAAAGGGGTCTTGGGAACTACTTCTGGACCCTCCCCCCCCCCCCCCCCCCCCCCCCCCCCCCCCGAATCAGTCATGCATGGTCAGGCAAACTATATAAGAGAGTACATTTAACTCCACAAATTTTAACTGCACCTGGGGGAGCAATTTTGACTTTTTTTCTAAGAGCAATTTTGAACCCCTTTTTTAGTAATTTTGACTTCTTTCCAAGTTGATTTAAACCTCTGGAGTAAAAAATTTCACGCATTGTAGAGTAGATTTAACTCTCAGGCAGGGTAAATTTATTTAAGTCCATTGGTGGTGTTATTTCAACTCCTCGAAAATAAGACTGTGCCCATTGTACCCATTTGTCCACTGTATGCACTACATTAAACTCCATTTATTTGTCTTTGGTCTCAAAACTACTCTTCACATCATTGCAATTCAACTCTCATGCGTCCTCTCTAGTAAATCAAGACTGCTCGACCCTACAAGCAGCAGGGTACCACGAGAACGGAGTGTACTCAATTGACCCAGACGGTAAAGGCGAATTCGCCGTCCTTTGCGACATGAAAACAGATGGAGGTGGATGGGTTGTTATTCAAAAGCGCTTTGACGCGTCGATCAGTTTTGATCGCATCTGGAATGAATACAAGAAAGGTTTTGGAGTAATGAAAACTGGTGAATTCTGGCTTGGAAATGACTTTATTCATCGCTTAACCGCAGCCAAACCAACACAGGTATACATTGAATTGGAAGACACCAGYGGACGTCGCACTTTTGCCAAGTATTCAACCTTCATTGTGGAAAGTGAGGTTAATCTGTACCGTTTAGACGTCTCGGGATATTCAGGTACAGCTGGTAATGCCCTAGTTCACCCAACCTCCGTCGCATCGAGGTCCAAAGGTATGGGTTTTGCCACGAAAKATCGAGACAGCAACAAGTGCAGTGGTACGTGGGGTGGTGGATGGTGGTATAATAATTGCGCTGCTGGGGCCTTAAACAAGAGAACAATTACATGGACTACTCAAAGTGGAATCGTTAAGAAAACATCCATGAAAGTCAAGCCTTCGTCTAAGTAATGCACGAAAAGATTAAGACAAATTAAGGAA